GACTGGAGGGTGCTGAACACCGGCGGTTAGCTTGTGCTAGCATGCTAAATTATCAGCTTTTCCATTTCAACAAAGGTAATATTCTTCGGTAGCTTGCCGTGTAGCTACAGGCGCTAAACGTTCACACTACGTGCTGCAGTGAGCGTGCGTCTCTGGTGGCGACGAGGGAGGTCCAGTTTGAACGTTGTGGTTACACGCTGCAGCGAACATTTCTACCGACTCCGCTGCTACGTGAGCCATGTGGCTTGCGGTCTTTATGCTAAGCTAGGCTAACCATGTGCTTCCTCCGGCTCTTTAAAGAACAGACACACAGTGTGTTGTGTGTGTGTGTGGTGTGTGTGTGTGTGTGTGTGTGTGTGTGCGTGCGCGTGTGTGTGTGTATGTGTGTGTGCGTGTGCGCGTGTGTGCGCTACGTTGTGCAGAATTGTGTGACTTTTTACATTTGGCACGTTTCTGTGTGTTGACCTGTGCAAAACTGTGCGTTTGTGTTCATCAGCGTGTTCAGTAACGCATGTCGGCGTCGTAACACCCGTTCAGACCGTTGTCGACGCACAGCTCTCGCTCTAATTGGTCGGTTGCTGCCGACATCACGTTCTGAACGATGGCCACCGCTGCCTCCCGTAAATCCCTCTTCCTCATCTCCTCCCTCTCCTCCTCCTCCTCCTCCTCGTCTCCCTCCAAATCTCCCTGCTCACATGACTCCGCCCCCTCGTTACAACCTCCATTTTGAGGAGACGCTGCCTCCCCCCTCTGCCCCTCCCCCTCCTCCTCGATGCTAACGGCTAAAGCTAGCTCAGGTGCTTCAGTGTTTGTTAGTGCTGCTTGTTGTGCTTCATGTCTGTAGTTAGTGTCTCCGTCTTTGTTGATGTTTTGTGGCTCATCAGAGTCCCGGTCGGCGTGCTCTAACTCACCGCTGTTCACAGCCGCCGTGGCGTTGATGATCTTAGCGTTGGCCTCATCTTTAGCTCCGCCCGCCTCCTTGCTCTTCTTCACGGGGCTGCCCCCTGTCGTCTTCTCCTCGTCCTGGTGATTGTGTGTGGCGTGATCATCGCCTGTGCCGTTGGAGCAGCCGTTCTCGCCGTTGGTCACCGGGGCGTCCGCCGGCGTCTTCTCCGCCTCCTTGACTGCGTCCTTCACTGCCTCCTTCACCGCCTCCTTCACCGCCTCCTTCACCGCCTCTTCTCCGCTCGCCGGCTCCTCCTCCGCCGTCTTCTCAGTCGCCACTGCGTCTTTGTCGTTGCTCTCCTTGTTGGCGGGCTTCGCCTTCAGCGCCGGCTTCCTCCGCCGTTTCTACGCCCTCCGCCGCCTCCGTGGCCTCCTCCTCCTCCTCCTCCTTGGCGCCCTCGCCCATGTCCACGCTGGTGGATTTGCCCTTTCGCAGGATGAAGTTCTTCAGGGAAACTGCGCGGCCAAAATGCGAGCGCTTGGCCTTGGCTGACTTGGCGTCTTTGCCGTCGTCGGCCGCTCCCTCCTCGCCTGAAGAGAAGAGCACAGTTCAGGGTTAGAGGCTGTCAGAGTCATGCTTCTTCTCTCTTTGAGCACAGTGGATCAAAAAGGATTTACATAAATGAATTAAGAGCTGGTTTGTGGTTTTAACTTCCAGAGCGATAAATATAACTTCTTTTAAGAACGCTGTGAGGGCGAGAAAAAATATGCAAACATGAAAACCGTCACAACATTGAAGTCACTCGCAAACCACGGTCATTTATTTATTTAAAGATTTACACCTGGGCTTTAATTTAACACGAGGGGAGTGGATAGAGTAGGAAGGAGAGAGAGAGGGGGAGAGAGAGGAGGAGAGCGAGAGGGAGAGACAGAGAGAGAGAGAGAGAGAGAGGGGGAGAGAGAGAGGGAGAGAGACAGAGAGAGAGAGGGGGAGAGAGAGAGACAGAGAGAGAGAGGGAGAGATGGAGAGAGAGAGAGAGGCCAACGTGCAGGAAATGGAGCCACATGTTGGATTTGAACCTGGGAGACTATAGTACATGTGGTGTGACTTGCCCTCAAGGTCACCAGTTGCCCCCTCATCATGTTTTTTTGGAAACATTTTTAATAGCCACAAACTTCTTTTTGGGTCTTTGTGCAGAAATCTGCAGCCTTTTCTTAACCCTCAGGGTGCACTCACACTCAGCCCAGTTTCTCCGTACTGTGCTTAACCACGATTACCCCCCCATTCCCCCGCTGACCTGCTCTCACACCGCTCCAGGACTAACCGGGCCTGAGCATGTTGCAATGCAGCTACTTTACTGACTTTGTGTCTTTATTCTGAGTCATGTTAGTCAGACAGAACACTCCGGGGTTTCTCCCCAATTAAGTTTGTCCACGTTGTGTCCCTGCTTGCTCGTGCTGGTGCATGAACTGTACCGTGCTGAAACACACCTCTTCAAAGTGTTCCAGGGCCGAGGAAGTGTACCGTGTTTGAGCACAGATCAGAGCGCTCACACTAGTCAAATGAACTGGACTGAGGAGTGAAGCGTGCTCAGACACGGTACAGATTGCCTCGTGTGAGTGCGCCCTTAAGGTAAGGGGTTGCAAAGTGGTGGAACATTTCCGGTAAATTTCCAGAAACTTTCCATGAGAAGCAGGGGGATTTTGGAAATATTCAAAATCGGAATTTATGGGACTTTATGGAAATTAACTGGAATTTGAGGGTAATTTAATTGAACTGTATCATATCCAAGCTGCTAGCTGCGGTAAGCAGTGTGCATGTGATAGAGGAACAGCAGAGATATTCAAGTGTACTTGCATGAAATCTGGTTGTTTTAGTCAAAATTATACTAAAATATATTTTCCCCAATTTTGAAGTTCCCTGTTCAGGGCCAACCTTTAATTTTGTAAATTCCCAATTTATTCCCATAAATTCCCATAAAGTCCCATGGAAAGTTTGAACCCTATTTAGGTAATCAAATATACAAACGATGTCAAGGACCCAGACTGACATGTCAAACAGGAAATGATAGTAATGACGGTTTGTAGTGATACGATTAAAGTGAATAAAGATAACGAAGTAGCAACAGTCAAACATTTTAAATATGTGGCTCTTTAAGTGCAGGAGGTCAAACTCTCCCCGCCAGTGTAATCAGATTTAAAAAATCAATACAGAAAATCTCCAGGTAGAAATCAGTTTAGAGGAAATAAAACATCTGCTCTGCAACAACTCCTTCCTTTAGTTCACTTTAAAGTGACTCTAGTGCACAATCAGCAGCTCCTTTGTTTTCCCTGGCAGAGTGTTTCATTCTTCACACAGAAGAAGAACTTTAGGCTTCCACCCGTCTGTTTAAAACGCGACTCTCCTCCGTTGGAGCGCCATGACAAAGAGCCTCTGGTTTGTGTATTTTTGAGCCCTTTTCTTTATGCAGCCAGGGGCAGAGAGAGTGAGTTAAATTTAGTCTTTGCTGTTGACAGAAGCTGCGGTGTGATTTGAATTTCACATCAAGATGTTGAATATTTTATTTGGGAGAATGTTCAATTACATTACCTCCCCTGGAGTTAGCGAGCCGCTACCTCCTGTGTGCGCTCCCTGGACCGGGACAGACACGGCACAGAGTGTGAACATGCTGTCAGCTTCTCCGTCTGAATATTTCAGCAGAGTTCATGTTGAAACTGAAGGCGTCGCTCTACAGATGAAGGCCTGATCATCTCCAGCAGCTTCTTACAAAACGATGCTTAGCATGAATACACTGATAGAAGGACACCAAAGTTCCTGTGCAGCTGGGGCGCCCTCTAATGAGCAGAATCTTTAGTCTAAAGACTGATATTCTCATTATATCGTCTTATAGCCTCCAAGTGGTTCTTTTTGACAACATATCTTGCCTTAGGAGACCCCGCCCCTCGCCAGGGTTGAATTAACCTTAAAAGATCAATGGTTACATTTTTCCATCCCTCTAATATAGAGAAAAAACCATGTAATGTATTTTTGTAGGCCGACCCTGAAGTAGCATCTCCAATCTTCACAGATGAACGCCATTTTTATGATGTTTGAAGCGTTAATGCGGCCGACAGAAGTAAAAAGCTAACGTTATGCTAAAGCTAACTACACCACGGTGGGATGATTGTGACGTCACTAGCGTTATGCTTCAGATGATCTCCGATAAACTAATCCACGTAGCTTAATAAATAGTTTACTAACATAATATTCACCTTAACCTAAAGATTAAACCTACAGGAGACATCTCCGACTAGTGAGAGAGTTCCCGCCCTCTGTGTCCGGCGTGATGACCTTTAATGTCCCCGACAACCACTGTAGTCACATTTAGCCTCTTGTTAGCAACCGCCTTTTTAAAGACGAGTAAAAACTTCAAACTTCACAAGTGGAGGTATTACCTAACGTAGTTTATGTGCTCTAACAAAACACCAACATCTCTTCAGCTTGTGTTAACCACAGACCTTATTTCAGGAGTCTAACCACAAACACATTCAAAATCCCCGTTGACTTTTAGACGTTAGACTCCATGGCGCTCAAATGCTAACTTACTTCCTGGTTTTAGGACTCATTCCTGTGGCGCTCTATTGATTGTAAAACTGTGCTCTTACCCGATGCGGCGGCGGCTGCTGCATCGTCCTCTGCACTCGGGGCGCACTCTGTGTTGGCGCGTTTGGACTTGGGGATGACGCGCTTCTTGAAGGACGTCCAGATCTCGTTGGCGTGTTGCGTCACCGTCCCGCCGCCTCCTGCTGCTGCGGCAGCACCGGCGGCCTTCTCCTCCTCTCCTCCTTCAGCCTTCTCCTCGCCTCCCTCTGCTTTCCCCTCCTCCTCCTCCCCTGCCGCTCCTCCGTCCGGCTTCGCCTCCTCTCCCTCCTCCACTCCCATGGCGGCGCCCTCCTCCGGCTTGCCGGCGGAGTCTTTGTCGGAGCCCTTGGCCTTGCCGCTGATGCCGACCATGGACGGGTCCCTCTTCAGGCCCTGGAACGTCCAGGAGCGCTTCAGCTTCCACCTCTTCTGCCCCGACTCCTTGGAGTCCAGTGTGGAGGAGTCTCCGCCTCCTTCTCCGTCTGCTCCCTCCTCCTTGCACTCCTCTCCTCCTCCCCCTCCCCCGCTCTTCTTATGCGCCTTCTGAGCCATGAGTTTCTTGAAGGAGTGCCAGCGTTTCATGTGCTTGGTGGTTGCCGAGGACGACGACGCTTTCTGCTCTTCCTCCGCGCCTCCCTCCGCGCCTCCCGCTGCACCTCCCTCCTCTATGGTGGAGTCGGCGGAGGCGTTAAGTGCTTCGGCGTCTGCCAGCCGGTCGAGGGACTTGGACCGAACCTTGATTGGTTTCTGGGTGTCTGCGGCGGCGCCGTCCTTCTTCTCGGTACTGCGGTGAGAGAAGATCCTCGCCACCGGCTTCCTGATCAGATCCCGCACCGTGGATTTGGCCTCTGTCGGTTTGCTCTTCTCTGCCTTCTTCTCCTCCTCCTTCTCCCCGTTTTCCGGAGCTTTCTCGATCGCCTCCTCTCCTTCAGCGCCGCCCTCCGCTCCTCCGTCAGCTGCTGCAGCCTCTTCCACTTTCTCGCCCTCTTTCTCTCCTCCTTCGGCTGCGTTCTCTTCTCCTCCGGCGGCCGCTGTGCTCGCCTCCTTCTTCTTCCGTCCTCCCATCACCTTCCCCAGGCCGCTCTTATTGAGGAAGGAGTCCAAGAAGGAGGTCTTGGGCTCAGCGGAGGAGGTGCCATCTGAGCTCTGAGGCGCTGCTGCCTCCCCGCTCTCTGCTGCGTCGGCCTCCTCAGCTCCGGCAGCCGTGTCGTTATTCACAGTCTCTTTGTTATCGACGACCTCGCTGTTGACGGCCGCGCCATCTTTATCGACAACCTCGCTGTTGACAGCCGTGCCGTCTTTATCGACAACCTCGCTGTTGACAGTCTCTGAGTTTGCGTTGGCGTTTTTAGTCGGTTGCTCCGCCTCTGCGGGCTTGCTCTCGGGGGTTTTTCCGTCTTCCTGGACCACCGGTGCCGCGTTGGCCTCAGTTGCCGCCATTTCAGAAAAGGGAAAAACAAACAACAATAACCAAAAAAAAAAAGTGGGTTCCTTCCTTTTCTTCCCTGGCCTTCTGCCCTCCTCTTCCTCGCTCTCTTTCTGGTGTTTCGTTTCCTCCCGCTGCGTTGGTGCTCTCAGGTCATGGAGAGCAGGGTGGAGAACATTGGTGGAGGAAAGATACTCAGCATCCTACTCGTCCTCCAAACTCCTAAAGAGAGAGAGAGAGGCACAGATGGTTAATAGTCTAAATCAACGCCATAGACACTCAATTAGTCTGGTCTAGACTGTGCATTGAATTGGGAATGAAGGGTAACAAAGTAGAGAAATCTCAGCAGGAAATGTGATGCAATTATGATGTTTCCGATTGAGTCGCTCTTTCCGACCTCCTCGCTGTGGGTGAGTCGATGTGGGGCACACATTCAGTCTTTGTAATTGAAACGACTGAGGCTGGAGGATTCAAAGCATGCACCAGACAGTAGCAATAAAAGAAAAGACGTTATGCTTCCTGAAAAGCTGCATCAGTATTCTGCTGGTTGTTTTTCAGATGAACTTTGAAACAGCCCTGAGCGGGTAGATGTGTACTCAATATTTAAAGGTGATTTCCTGTTTAAACGCTCCGACCAGCTCAGGAAGCTGATTTAAGAAACATGAGATGTTAAATGTTGGATTGAAATGCCAAAAGTTTAGAATCAAAAAGTATTGATTAGAGATCAAATATTGGCACGACAAGCAGACGGCAAAGAACTAGTGCCTTTGTCTTGGCCAAAAAGTTGCACTTGAACACACCACAAAGACTACAGCCGACGTCCAACCACCACGTCTGTTCTGCAGATGAGTGAGAGGAAATAACTCTCCATGCCAGCAGGGGGCGGTAGTCCGTTGTTCTGATACGAGAAGACCATTTTCACCCCGCTGTCGCTCACCACTTGTATTATAGGTCGTCTACTAATGGAGAATAATGTCTGATAAGAAGTAGAAAATGGCGCTGGCGTTGTCAGTTCTTGGTCTTTTAGTGGAAAAAGAAAAGAAGAGGAGGAGACAAATAAGGAGAAACCTCACTAATGGGTGAAAGCATGGAGACTACAGAGACATGCTCAAGAGGCTTTACTGAACCTGAGAGGAGAGCTGGACAGAAATGAAACCTCTAGTTTCAGAAAGACTAGAAAAGCGCGATACAAGTCAATTAACCATTTACTGAGGCAATGAAAACAAAAGGTCAAAGGTCGCTCAGGTGGGTTCAGTCCACAGCAGAACAGATTGAAGCAGACTCTCCTGTTTATGGAAAGTTCAAAGTCTGTATTTTTATTTCAGTTAAATTTCCTCTACTCTGATATTATAAGGTTAAGAGTGCTGCAGGGAGCTGCATTCGTCAACAGAGCTGTCAATCATGACGTCATACTCGTTCTGTTTTTTGCATCACATAACTAATGACACAAAACTACTCCTAAAAATCAAGATGAACATTAATCAATGTGATAAGAACAAGAGACAATCTGACTTGTATTTTAAATTTAAAGTTTGACAAAAGCCCCATCTGTTAACATGGAGGAGGCGGGGTCTATGACCCCTACTGCATCTGGTCAGCAGGGGGAGCTCTAAGTATGACAGCTTCACTCCAAGGCGGCTGTTTCTCCGTCCATCTTTATATACAATTTAATGAGAAACTCAAGACTGAAGATAGACTGAGGGCATTGACTATGTCAGACAAACCAGGTTATTTAGTTTTTTACAAAAAGTAAGTTTCTCACCCTCTTTTGTTTTTTACACAAAGTGACATAAAGGGGATTAAACCTGGACCCGTTTGTCCCCGGTTGGGTCTGGCGTCCCATACCTCCAATAAATCCACACAATTTCAGTTTAATAATTGTAATCTCCGAGCTTAAATGGAGACGAACTTGATGACACCGCTCTTACATCATCCGGGTCAGAGCCATGAGAAGACATTACACAATGTTTTTTATAAGCTGATTAAACCTGTGGAGCGGCCGTTAAGAGGGGGGGAGGGATGTATAGTTTATGTTTTTAAAACACAGCTTAGTTGTAGTGTACCACCTTTGCAGAAGTCAATGAATGAATCATCAGCAGATCAATGACTCTGTGAGTCACACGCTGCTGTGGAGTAACCGACTTTTCAGCAGTCCAGACGTTTAGTGAACACAGTCACACACTCTCAGAGGAGAGAGTGAAGGAGTGAGTCAGACGGAGGAAGGGAGGCACTCAGGTGGAGAAACAATCTCACCGGGGAGAGACGGAGGGCCGAGCGAGGGAGGGAAGTACAGTGAGAGAGACAGAGAGGGCGAGGTGTAAACACATACATCACATGCTCCACATAATCTCACTCTGTTGTTGCCACAACCGACTGACTGGCCGACCAACTGGAAGGCTTACTGGTTGAGTGGCTGCCATCTTGGCTCCCTGGCCGCCTTACCGGCTGGGAGATGGGGCGGCTGACTGGCTTACCGACTGATGGATGGCTTACTGCCATTAGCTGCTGACGAGTTAATTTACTGACTGATACACTAACAGCTGATTGGTTAAATCACTGATTGTTTAAACAGCACACACACAGACTGAACGCAGCGATGCAAACGTTCAATCAATTGGATGACACAATCGTGTTGACACAACTGGGTTAAACACCCCGAGGCTCTGGTGAAAAGACGGACGTGGACATCATTCAAGAAACAGAAGGAGCTTCATTGGACGATCAAAGATTGGTTGTTTGGGGCGATCTCTCTGCAACCAATTTCAAACGTGCACTGCTGTAGTTTCCTTAGACATTTCATGCAGGCTTGCAAAATCTTCCCAGAGTCAGTTGTTCACACATGCACCTCACAGCGGTCGGACATGAAGGGGGCTCTCATGAAGAAGGCGTGTTAAGAACAACGTGGAAATGGCGGTTGAATCAACAGAGTCTGACGCTTAGAAGACAATTAAAAAATATCAGCAATATAATGGTGCACAGAAAACATAATGAAGCAGTTTAGCCCCGCCCACTTTCTTGCAGCACATTTCTCTGAATATTTTACTTCTGTGTTCTCACATCTGATCATCCCGACATGGACATTTTTACAAAACGGGTGAAGTCAAGAGAAGGTAACCAGACAAATGAGCGGGAGGGATGATGACGTTTACATCCTGAGTCTGGTGTAAGACTGCTGACTATGTGTGCGCGACCTTTCCTCCGGTGTGTCCTTCTCCCTCCTTCCTTTGATATCGTGTATTATGAAGGCAACAACTGTCGCTAAAGTGTCGGACTTCTGTGTCAATCTTTTAACGTCATGTCCTGCATCTGAGTCCCCCTCCCCCACATGCCCCTCCCCCGCTGCCCTACAGGAATAATCTCCTTCTGTGGGGTGCATGTGTGGAACATTTTTGTAGCAGCCTCCCCTGAAATTTTCGAGAAATTTGGAAACAGGAGTGCATGTGTGAAAACGGCCTTAGAGAGTCGGTTGCCATGGCGTTGCTATTTGTACACTAACAGCAAAAAGTACAGCTAAGCACAGAACAAATGTGTCAACTCAGGGTCTCATAAACCCTCTAACTCCTCACACCAGACTCCCTGGATACACGTTTATCTTCTTCCTCTACCTCAGACTCAGACTAGCCGTCGTGTTTGCCAACTTGGGGCCCTTTTTTATTCATTTTCATTGCGAGCTTTATATGCACCCTCTCTCATTCCAGAGGGGCGGTCTCACATGATCTGTACATGCAGCGAGTGCAGTCTGTAAGCATGACCTGATGAACCCGGGTCGCTGGCCTCCACCTGAACCTCGACGCCGCACCATCACCGACTGTTTACTATCCTGAGCTTCAGATTGCTGTTAGCCTCCGAGCTCTGACGCACTCGGTTTAATTTATTCTGCTGACAGCCCAGAGACAGAAACCAACACCTCCACCTGGCACACACACAAAAACAACTACACAATGTTAAGAATCAAATAGTGTCACTCAGCCAAATACAAGCCCGAGCAGCTCAGACGTTAGACTCCCTGCATGTGTCAGGGCTTCTTCTGCAGCTGTCAGTGGATTTATCTTGGATCCATTATGTACTAGAGGGGGCAGCGCTGCTCTTCACTTCACTGTCTGCAGCTACAACAGTTCATGAAAGCTTTCATTAGTTCAGTGACACGTTTGCTCGGGAGGTCTGGAGAGTCACATTAGTGGCTGAATTAGATTAAGAAGCTCTTTATTTAATATTCTGAGAATCAATAATTCAGTCTGTGGAGGCTGGATTTGTTACATTCTTTACTTGCAAACAGACGAGTCCCCCCTTCTTACAACCAGGAGACCTTTATGCGTCTGTGTCTTTGTGTCTGGAGGGGAAGTCTTGTAATATTTTCAATCACCTTAATGACTTTATATGTGATTTTTTGATCCAGCAGATGTCGCCCTTGAGCACCAACATGAAACCAAAACAACTCGTGCTGCATTGTTGTGTTAGCATGCTAATGCTAGCGATCTTTATTATGCTGGTATCTTCACACTGCATGTAAATTTACCTGAAATGAGAGTGATCTAGAAACACAGTTAAGCAGTGAGTACAGTATGTTATTCTTCTTTTCTCTAGTCCCTCAATTAAACAACTTTTATACACGAGGGGAGGAGTCAGCCGGCCGTCCTGGCGATGTAAACAAAGTGAAGATAGGACTCTGAAAACTCTGAAAACATCACAGACAGTGGGACTCGGGTGTTACACCCATTGTGTTGACTTATTTTCAGAGGAGATACTTGATTTCTATTACATTTAAGTGTGAAACATATAAAGACTTTAAACATCCTGCAAGTCTTAAAAACGATGAGAGTGCACCGTTATTCTGGTGACAAGATGTAAACAGGTCTGAAGTTCACGAGGGGATAAACTGCGGCGTGGGGCTAAAGCTTCACACTTCACTTCTCTCCATGAATATGAATGCAGAGTCTTAACACATCCGAGCTGACCCTTTTAGAAGTCTGCAGAAAGTCTATTCAAAGCCCCGTGGGGACTCCATGAATTGTCAATTTGAATGGCACAAGTCTTTTCCTCTGAATAACGCCTGCTGAGGAACAACTCTCCTCCGACTTAAGAGCTCTAAGACCTTCACATGAAACACTTCTCCACACTTCTCTTCAAGGTCAGCATCGAGGATGAAGAGTTTTATCTAGCGACGTCGCCTTCTTTCCAACAATAGAGCTCGCTTTACACTCTGCATCCTCCAGAACGAGGAC